ATGAATGTTAATGAACAATGTTGGAGAATCGCTGTAGCCTCTTCCCACAAGTATGTGGTGAGGAGAAATAAACTACAATTCCACAAATGTAGATAATGAAGTGACCGTGTATATTTGCCTCTCAGCTCTACCATCAGAACTATACAACAGTATTTCCAAACACCCAAACTCCCAGCTTTTAGCTACTCAAAGCTACTTTTAGTAGCGAAGTCTCTATGGGTGTGTGGTAAAGTGAAGAACATGAGCAAACTGGGGTAATTATCCCCCCACACTCACTAGTCTCATTTTCACAAGGCATCTGGAGATCTGCTAGCATCGGGGAGCCGGGGAACAAGGCAACGGGAGCCCACTCTCGCTGCTCCACTGAGTCTCAAGGTCCCTCTGAAATTCGCAGTCCAATCCACAAATAACTATTGTGCAGTACATTTCTATTCCTGTCATGTCATAAGACGATATTCTTGACTTTTCCAGTCTAGCCATTTAGGACATTAGCAACCACCAAAGCATGCTGAGCGGAGCTTTCTCCCCGTCCCTTAAGATTCCTTTATTCACCCCAAATGACCTTCTAGATATTTTCATTCTGATAAGAGCCCTTATGCTATTACTGTTGACTTAAGAATACACAAGTGTAATGTAATTCTTACCCTTCGATATTTCCAAATTGAAGATGAAATGAGACAAGGTGTCAATTTGTTTCAAAGATTATTATCATCAGTGCTTATCAGCTTGATCCACGTCTGCTGCTACCAGGGATAACATGAGATAGTAACCAAAACAGAGATATTTGTGCGGGAAAAAGCAACAGCAATGTATTGTGTATGGCAGCTTTTCTGCTTCAGTTAGTTCATCTAAATGTTAATTCTTACAATTGCATTGTTTAAAGCTAAATATATATATATATATATACTGTTATGGACGTAACTGGGACAGGAGCTAAGTTTATTATATTTTGGGACGGCTTCCAGAATTGAAAAGGTACTGGACCATATCAGTCCCACGAGAAGCCGACAGTTCGATTTAATAGTAGCAATAGGGAACCAGGCTTAATTATAAGGATGTGCAAGACCCCCCGTTGTAAGTGGGAATTCTTGCTGCAGTCAACTTTTACTTTTAAAGATCATTAAAGAAATGGATATCCTATAACACTTTAAAATATGAATGTACATTTTCCATAAGAGAGCAAACAGTTTCCTTCTCAAACAATCTAATCTTACAGATTCACAGCATCGGTATCATTTATCTGGAGTCGTGTCTGTCTACTAAGTACAAAACAAACTTTCTTTAACTCTTTTTTTTCTTCTTCACCAACTTCTGAGGAAAGTTGTTCACTAACTTTATTTACTTGAGTAACTAAATGTGTATTTCTGCTGTTTAGTGCTGAGCAACTTTTGGGGTTTTAGAAGTTTTTCTTCTTTGGATGAAAACAATTCTGATAAAAGCCGAGACTAAAGTGAAACATTTAAATTGCGAACCCAAAAATCTCAACAATTTAAAATCTGTAGAGTCTAGGGGAACTGTAAGGGTAGTTGTGGGTTCATCCCTATGTGCTAACTACTTTCACATGATGTTATCCTTTTGTTAATTTAAAATATGAAGTGTAATTGCTTTAATACTAAATATATTATAGTACCCATTAACTTGTCAATGTTCTCAAAGTTTAGAGCGATACGTTTTAAATCAACTGTTCGGTAAGGTAGGTTGCCTATGCATTTTTTTGAAATGTTAAGATTCAGTTTAGCGTAATCCTCCTCTTGTCAGGTCGTGATCCGTCTCCGTTTAGTGTTACGTGCTCAGACACGACTATTCCATGGTTTGAATGGCAGCAGCCTGCTTTGCCTTGTACCCAGGGGAAATATTCAATCTTAGGTGAGATCCCATCCATTTTCACAACATAGCAGAGATGGAAAAAAAACTTCTAAATGGGTTTGGCAAATCCTTCACAACAAGATTAAAGAAGTGAGGGATATATTTTCCATGCCCACAAATGCTTTAAGACTGACACTCAGCCACATCATCCACCTTTATCAGAGAGCGTTTTAATGGTGATACTTTCCCGATCAACAGGGTTTTAGTTTGAGTTAAAAATGATGGTGCCTTTTCATGTGATCGAGCAAAAGATGTGTCACTTGCAAATGTCTGAGTTTAACAACGTAAATCACAAATCAAAGTTAGAGCATCATTCCTTGTGTACTGTAAGACTATTTTCTATTTTGAAATGTAAGTGCATCTCTCTTTTACCCATGACAAAGGTTTAGCTTGGAGAAAAGATTAAGTTGGATTTCCATATTAAACCTTCCTACATATCAGTATCATCAGCTACATGAAATGGAAGTGGTGCTCTGGCCATGCGGGAGAAGAGGATGTCAAAGTAATGGCATGTTTAATTCTTAATCAACTCAGCGGGCCCATTTTTACTGTGAATGCTGCATTTGGGAGCAAGCAGCACATTCTGTTTGTACTCCCACTCATTTGGCTGTCATAAATAGAGCCACACAGTGCAGATGGTAGGAGACTTTAGGAGCCAAAACAGCCATCAGCAAGCAGACTTATTGATTTTTCTGTAGCCTGAGAGATGCATAAAGCAACTCAAACGGGAACGAGTGGGGGCAACTATAACGTTAAGTGGAGGTTCTGCATTTATCTGTAAATGAGCATTCTTGCACAAACACACACACACTTTCTCCGACATGAGAAACAGATGCCCCCCTCCTCTTATTTTCTCCTCTACAGCCCACCCACTCTATACAAGATGTCCCACTTTCTTTGAGAAACCCACAAACAACCGTTTTATTTACACAAGCTGACATAGCTGTATGTGTGTCACACAAAGACAAATGCATAAGTAGATATGTTAATTCCTCTGTGTCCACTCTGCTCCTTTAAGAAAATACTGGCTTTCAATCCATACTGTAATCTAAAACTTTGATTTTCTTCCCAAAGTGTTTCCTTGCCCTTGAGATCATTTGCAAGCTTTTAGTGTTTGAATTGGCAAAGTGCTCTGTAAGCGTTATGAAGATGGATTATTTGATGCGCTCTCACATCTTAAATGTGATACTTCAACCAAAATGTATCTTTTTAGTATCACAAACGTGCCTCCTGTGGGTTTGAAAGGTGGCTGGTAGGAGTTTGTAGTTTGCTCTCTCACACGAAGAACATTAATTTCCTTCACAATGGATTTTATTCCAAGTATACATTATCAAACAACCACGATATCTAGAGCACATGGTCGTTATTTAGAAGACTTTTAATATAATGCAGCAACTTTTATTGGAACAATTATCTTAGCTTATTCAGATGAACAGATGTGTTGAGGCTCTTGATCCCCTTCTACTACGTCATCTAGTGATTTGTATTTTTGTAGCTTTACACTTCTTGATTTTCTACCTTTTGTTATAATGTGTCAATTAACAGCTAAACATAACGTTTTAACACAACAAACACAAACATCTTTCTCTGACACTACCCTGGTTTAAGGATATGTAACCCTCCAAATCATGTACAGCAATAAGTTGTGTTTCCACCTTTAATGATGTTGCTTTGTTTTTTTCTTAACCATAAATTAAATGCACCCTCTTATAATGAAATTGCTAATAATGTAGAGTAATTTGTTCAGCCTCAGAGTGCTGTTGCTAATCAAGACCAGTTATGTTTTGTAGAGCTGCAGCTAGAAGCTACATCATTGTTATCATTTAGTTATTTAGTCCTCCTTAGTTAAATAAACAGTTAAATAATAATATGCTATAGGAAATATGAAGTTTGAATGTTGGATGAAAGTAAGGAAACTGATCAGGGATTGATGGACTCTTTCCTGGTTGTACTTTGACACCAAATTATCAGGTGTTACTGGGCCTGGTAACAGCACATCATCCCCTTTAAAAAGAAAATGTGATGATTATATACTTTGTTTTAATATAAAATCAAAAAGAGTATTTCACATATTGAACTTTTCCTTTTAAGGAACCAGCGTTTTCAGAGCCACACACTTTTTATATGCACGACACACCAACCGTCTCCTTTCTGCTCGGGTAAAGCACCGTCATGCTTCTTCACATCTTCAGACTTTGCTTCCTGGAGAGGAATGTCATTATTCATACAGCTGCAAAAGTTCATTTGTAACGGAAGTGTTAAAAGATGGACTTTCAAACATGAGGACAAATTATTGATGCTGAGGACATTCTCTGTGGAGAAATACATGGACTATTCAGTATAAGTTGTAAACAGTGGACCAACATGCTTTTTATACCAATATAAAGAGGTGAACTGAAATGATTGTCCTTAACACAAACGTAACATAGATTAAAGGCAGTTTATTGAACATTCATATAAGATCAGTCAATTATATTGAAACACTTCTTCTTTTCAGTAAGCTTGTGTATCTAAATGAGAAACTTATGCTGAGAAAAAGACAAGAAGATTTGTCAATAACTTTGCTTCAGGTGGATAGTTTTCTAATTGTATTAGGAATTCCATTAGCCTCAGGATCTCAGAAAACTATATACCTCCAAGTTATAAACTGCAACCTAAAAGGCTTGATCATTTGGACTGAAAGAGAGAGAGATTCTGATGTTTTACTGCTATTTTTCAATTTCAGAAGATGTACAAGTGCACAATCATAGCTTGAGGTCCGCTTAAGTTCATCATTTTACTTCAAAGAGCAGCTGACAAAGAAATCTCAACTCAAGTGGCCCTTACTGGTTTGTTCTGGGGCTTTGAAGATTCTCAAGATTCAAAGGTTTTATTGTCATATTCACAACTGCTGCAGTGTAGCTGTCGGCAAATGAAAAGTCTCAAGTTCCTCCAACAATGTGACATACAGCATACTCAAAACATATACAAATAGTAATAATCCGTTTAACAAACAAATCAATATTCATATTCCCTTGTCCCTTGTTTTTTACATAGTGAAGAGACTCTATCAAATCAAATAACAACACAAAATCTCTGGTATGTATCCCCTCTACATCTTACAAAAGCTAAACGTGTGTTTGTGTCTGGAACAGGTGTGACCATGAAGCTGATGGACGAGGTCGCCGGCATTGTGGCAGCTCGGCACTGCAGCACCAACATCGTCACGGCCTCTGTGGACGCCATCAACTTCCATCGCAAGATCATCAAAGGTGAGGGTGATATAGAGAAAACACCTAAAGTCACTGATACATAAACATACTAACATATTTAAGGATATGTACCTCTCCAAAACAAGTGTTGATGATAAACTGCAGGAAGACTCCTTTCACTTTGGCCTCTTGCTCATTAATGATTTGCACGATAATGTGGAAAAACTCAGCAGTCTGTAAATTCAGCGTCAGACAGTGCTGTTTTAAATTGGACTATAGGCAGCGTTAACAGCTGTCATACTGATGCTAATCAAGACCAGTTGTGTTTTGTAGAGCTGCCGCTTCATCTGGAATAAACACACCATTGTTATGATTGAACTATTTTCCATTACCAAGCTCAGTGTCTGAGCCGAGCTCGCTGTAGTGAAAAATCCTTTACACTGTATTTACAACACTTCTGTCTGTCAGGTCGGGGTTTCCATATGGACACACTCTTAGCCTCTCATTTTAAAGTCCAGTCAAGGATTTTATGACGACTACATTATCCACTTACATTACATTTAGCTGATGCTTTTATCCAAAGCGACTTACATACATTCAGTACTGTGGGCAATCCCCACAGGAGCAATTTGGGGTGAAGTGTCTCAGGGACACAACCACATGCTGACTGCAGTGGGACTCGAACTTGCTACCCCCTGATTCGAAGTCCGACCCTCTATCCACTGAGCCACAGCTGACCAACTATGGAAGCCTTCTTAGTTTCTTTCTTTCTGTTATTGGTCTTTTTATGGATTCCAAAAGTGACTGAAAGCAGCAAAGTGTTGAATAATAGTTTATAACATCTATGGGTTTTACTTTTCCTCAGCTCAGTGTCTCTTTTATCTGTTCACTTGCTGAGATAATGTGATCCAGACATCCAGTGCTAACGTTCAGATGTTATGATTATCTCACAATATGATGTTAACAATGGATCCGCTACAGTTCTCCCCATTGTTGAATTATGAAGTGGAAAGAACATTTGATATACTTCACAGCTCAGCACAAGTGTGCCAGGTCAGCTGTGAGTCCACACCATTTGCAGTTTCATGTATTTCCAAGTGCAGGTTCCTTTATTCAAGCAGGATAATTCACTCAAACCAAAATAAGTTTCTCAAGCAGGCCTGAGTAAAGAGTGAGTGGCTGAGAAGGACTTGAGAGTAGCACCTTTTAAAACATTTAAAACACGCCTTTTTGGGATGTTGGAAAGCTGAGCGTAAAAGATTGGTCAAGATCCATTTCCACGTCTTTCAGCTTCTTCCAGTCACTCTCGCTTCAGCTGCTGTCCTCTGAGTTTAGGTGGTGCTGACATGATTTCCCCTGGCTCCCACAGTGACTTAGGTGTTATGTCACCCGTAGATTTCCCATTATACTTAAGGTGAACAGACAAAAACTCAAAAGGTGTGCAAAGGAAAAAGAGTTGTCAAAGATCAAAACAAAAAAAACACCCAGAAACAGCCACTGGCTGTAACTTATCTCTTTTATTTGATGCTATCCTCTTTCCTTTGATTATTAATTACTCCCACCTAAATGTAGATATTATGACATGACTCTGAGATATTTACAGCACAGCTGCAGTTGAGTTGGAAGTCAAACATGTTAAATAATCCATGTGGTAATAATTTCCATAATTGATGTTGTGTTTTAGTACTTAAACTTAAAAGCAGAAATACATGTTTCTCAAATCATATTTGGCAACAACATTCACACATGGAGAAATCAATAAATGAAGGTAGGAAATATTTTTAAGAGACTAATATGAGATTCAGTATTGGATACTGAACTATGCCTTTTAAGGGAAGCTTTTCCTCACAGGGAGGGTACTTCCACAATCACCACATTTATTTATTTAGTCTACAGATGTGAAAGTTGAAGGTATATGGACTTTTTGCCAATTCTGTTTATGGCAGAACCAGCCTAGGGCGCAAAACGTGTGGCATAAAGCTAAACATCATGACATTTCATTATTGACATGTAAAAAGCTCTGAGGACACTAATGCATATGTGCTCTACAAACTCCATGCACTAGACGACCACACACCAGCAGACACAGAAAGAATGAGCATTAAATGCATCACGGTGGGAAATAGAGACACAGAACATAAAACAGACCGAGGTCTGTGTCTGCACATGGCTCATGTGGAGGATTCTCCCATGATTTGTTTATTTTTAGAGGTCCTGCTGTGTTGAGTCTGAACAATTCACAGCAGACATATAACTGTAGAGCCAGGCAGGGTGACAGTGAGTACCTAAGTTAAACAACATAAGAAATATATAGGATAGAAAATCCACTTGAAATGTCATCATTTGCAGGGGCCAAGATGATTATTTCCCAGGTATTAACTTGCCGCACCAAATCACATTTGATCCATCATGCTGTGTGAGAAAGCTACGCAATACGTTTTTAAATAAACATGAATTTAGTCAAATGCAAAGAAACATGGCACCAAGGTTTAAAACAACATTCTGCTCTTGGACGCAAGAGCAGAACAAATCAAAAAATGTAATTTCATCAAGGAACATTTGGACCAAACATGCAAACTAATTATCATGAAGCAAACTTTTGATTGCAGCAGTAATACTCAGATGGTGTCAAAACGTTGATTAATTAATTATTTGGCATATTTTAAAACAATTAAGGAGGTACTAACACTATACAGTAGTTAAAATAATCTGCCATTAGCATTACAATAAGCAACTATGTTTTAATAATGTGTTGCATTTATTTGAGTTATTGACTTGTCCTCATATCATAATCCCTCTCACACCTCATTTGTCACCTCATTGACAATGAAGACAGGTTTTCCCAGATTGTATCTTCTGTGTGTAGAGCATTTCATTATCTTATCTGCTTTTCTGTTGCATGTTTACGTCTATGTAGAGTGATTTTCCTTCGCCAACAAGCATGAATAGTTAGTGCCTAACTCCAGTCTGAGTGGAGATGAGATACTACATGTAAACATTAGAGAAAGCTGCACTCGATGTTGCAGCTCGTGAGTCACTTGTTTATTAGAATCCTTTTTTGTTCCTCACCTACTCAGAGAAGCGCTTCATTTCCCTCCCTAACCACAGACTTACCGAAAAGTAAAGTGCACTTTGATGCCGGCAAAAAACAATAATGTCTATTGTTTGGAACTGACAAAAAAAGTCAGTGAGGTTCTGGCCATTGATGAGCCATAGGAATGCACAGAGGTACAAAGAAAGATACAACTTGAAAAGGCGAGTGTTGGATTACAGCGGATTTCAGGGAGATAAAACGAGGGCTAAAGGTAAATGAAGAAACATTTTGACATAATGAATACCTAACTTTGTGTTTTTCACTTCATTGTTTGTTTTGCTCAAACACAAAGGTACATGAACAGTTAAAACAACATGAATAATTGAGTTTTTCTTGTAGTAAGGTGGGTTTGTGTGTGTGTAACTATAAATAGTGGCTGGCTTGTAAAAGCACAACAAACATCAATATTAAATATCCTTTAGTTGATACAACATGATTTGCACAAGCCTGACATTTCTGTACTGTTTGCTTGATTAACTTAAGTAGACAGTTGGCTCTATAAATCAAATATTTCCTTCGAGTGGAGTGAAGATACTTGACAGTGTGTTGCTGAATATGAGAATCTGTCTTTGATTGCCGGCAACAAAAGAAACAATAGTTGGCCTTAAGTGTTTCTGTAGAAGTTGTCAGAAGTGAGGGATGTTTTTTCACCTGCGTTACCTTTGTTCCCTTCTTTTGTAGTCGTCTCCGGCAACCTGCTGATGCACAAATGCAATTTACAGGAAGCCCACTGGGAAAAGAGGACAATGTAGAACAACTACCAATGGGAAAGCTACAGAAAGAATAGTTTAGCAATCTCCAAATGACTTCACACAGGAACAAGTTGAACGACAGCAAAGCTACCCTGGGTATCTAGATTTGTGAGCTACAGAAATATACTAAAAATTCAAAAACAAGAATAAATAATGAAAAAACGACTTATACTACACAAATACTACTCAAAAACAAAACATTTCATTGTCTTTTTTCAGACCATTTGACTGCACTTTTCAGAACAACATGGGCCTGTTTTCTGTCCTGTCATTTTCCAACATCTGACTTGGACAATATTGACAACTTAAACAGTCCTTAATTTGCACCTTTATGGACAGAATAAGAAGTTTAAACACTGATTCAAATAACTTTTGACGTTCCTTTAACTTGACGGAGCAGAATTAAATAGGTTTGTTTACTGTCGTAAAGCAATGGTAAAACTAAAGAATCCTTCCTTTCCTCACATGGCCTAAAAGTGTAGTGTTAGTTGTTAACTCTACAAAACATTGCAAAAGAGTGACTGTAAGGTGTAAATAGGTCACTACTCCCCCACACCGAGAACAACAAACAAGACACCATCCTGAGTAGATTTCACAACCTCAGAATACTTTCACTTTGGTCTATTTGCGGTAGAAAGAGTAACAGGAAAACCTGATTTCTCCTCACACTGGCCGTAGCAGAAACGGCAAACCTATGGCTTAAAGGCGTCACAATGGCAGCTTTGTGCTCTCAACACGAGGCCCTGCAGGGACTGTCCTCGCAGCAGGTTAGCTGTATCAAACAGCCCCTCAGAGATGAGGCTCTGCCAAATGTTCAGGTTGGCTGACCTTCAGCCATACACAAGTCCAAGATCTACTCTCTGAATAAATACATTTTTCATAGTGAAGGTCTTTAAAAAGAAATCGACCACTTTTTTCAAGGCTCTTTTTTGTGTGTAATGTCATTAGTGAGTAGAGCATGCTTCACTGAGCCTAAATCTGCGACAGAGAGAGTTCACCTGAATAACTCTGGACTGGCTGCTGGCAGTAACATGTAACAACTCAGCAGTGAGGGGGAGAATAAATATCATCAGTGTTTGTGCTGCTTGAGCACGCTGAATGGAAATACATGAATGGTTCTTTTGTCCAACGTCATCCTGATTTCTTATACAACCTTACTTAATGAACTCTTCACTCAGTGTTATTTTTGTTATCATCTTGATGACATTTCTAAAATCTCTTAGTGTGTACGATTTCTATTGTTGATAATGTTATTTCCTAACATAACTGGGGGTTAGAATAAGGTTAGTTATAACATTTTTTATCACTCGCTTAAATTTACATTTCAAATGTCAATATGTTCCTGCCTGATCCTCAACCCAAAACTAGTTCCATCTTGCCTTTGGTCAATAACAGATACTTTCAATTGCTTTAAAATGCAAACATATGGGTGGTCTGTGTCTTCCACACATTCAGACTGATGGTTGTATTCATACAGCTGGTAGAGAAAACAGTGTTTTGCAGAGCCAAGGATGTGTCCTGAGAATTGGAGACTAATATCCAAGACGGTGCCTGTTTATTCACTCGGTGCATAATTCCCTCAAAAGTTCCTACTTTATTAGCTTCATTGTTGTGCTGCCCACTGCGTTAATATGTCCTTATCTCCATACCATCACAAACACAGTATTTTACTTTGTCTGAAGCCTCCTTTATTCATTTAAGCATACTGTTTCTTTTTCTATTTAAAAAAATCGTGTTTGGCAGATACGATAAGACAGATACGATAAGAGCTTTTAAACAAATCAAATGTAGTCACAGTTAGTGCTACATGTATCAATATTGAGTGATTACCACCCCACACTTAATGTAAGTGTGTGTTAATATGACTGAGGAATTTCAGTTATATTGGAGTTGGTCTTCTACACTGAGATGTTTTCCAAAATGATTAATTTACTAACACAAACTGTTATACAAATGTAAAACTTAAGAATCAAACTCACATGGTCAACTGTTATTTCCCCACATTTCTCCAGGCTCCACACATAGAGGATTTCAACTTTTCTACATCATTTAAAACAGACTAAAACAGAAAGGACTCTTGCACGGCCACTGGCACAGTAAAGCCATTATTTAATGAGGTCTTTTGTCTCGTTATTTTACGAAGAGGACATGCCCGTATGAGTAAAAGGCTCCATTACTGAACAACGCTCCACTGAAATGTAAAGTCCTTTAGGAGATAGTTTGCAGAGCATACTTTGATAAAAGCTTTGTTTAATTTTCCATGTACGTCTTTTAGTTTCCGAGACTTGGACTGTTTGATAGGATCTCAGTCATAGAGCTCTTCCATGTCTCTATGGCAACAGCAGCAATAATACAGTACAGGCATCAAAAAGCATAAAGGATCACATCACAATAGCCAGTGCTACCAGGTGCCTCTTTTTCCCCCACTTCCCTGAAGTGACAAAAGAAAAAGAGTCAAATGTGCCTCAGGATGAAATCAAAATAGATGGAATAAATGCTCTGCAGCAATTGAACCTGATGTTTCCTCTTAATATTGTGCCGGTAAAAATTCACATCTTTAAAATATTTGAACTTTAAAGCATATACCCGTTTAAAAAACGTTCAAACTTTTCTGTCTTACTTCAAACACAACACTATTATTTGTTGTATTGATCTAAATAGTTTGCCGTGATTGGCTGTAGTTCTTAAATTCTTCCAGCCAGAGATCATTGGCCGGCTTCACTCTGCAGACTCTCTCTGAAGTTCATGATGCAACAATGTGAAGTAGATTGCAAGAGAAGATCCTACATTGGCTCTGCTGACTATATCAATAAACCCACTTATTTCATGTTCAGTGAATCCATTCGTATATGTCCTTAAATTGAACTATACGTGCGTAAATTACTAACATTGAAGGTCATTGCCTTCCCTCAAAGTTTCCAGGTGATTTTAAACTTCTATAATTCTGGTTTGGGGTTTCATTTTCTTTTTTCTCTTTGTCTCTTTTTAAGCACTTGAAGCATGTGAGCTTCAACTAAACTAAAAATGAAATATCTATAACTGTATCGCACTATACTACTAAAAAACCTGTATGCTGCATGAATGACAGACATATGTTTCCCCTCTTCTCCCCCAGGCTGTGTGGTGACGGTGACGGGGCGCCTCACGTTCGCCAGCAACAAGTCGATGGAAATTGAAGTGTTTGTCGACGCTTCCTCGCTGATGGAGGCAGGGAAAGAGAAATATCGTGCTGTCTCAGCCTTCTTCACCTACATCTCCCTGGACAAGGCCAACAAGGCCCTGCCTGTCCCGCCTCTTAAGGTTGGTACCACCCAGTCTCTGCTGTCGAAAGTCAGTCATTGATTTGATCCTATATAGTACATCATTTTAAATATACAAAGGGCCTAATTTTAACAGGTCTGATACAGAGAGAGCCAAACATAGATGTTTAATGCGTACCCTACTCTGCACACAGATTCATTTAAAACATTAGTCCCTCAATGTTTTATAATGAACAAATGCGGCCATGGTGTTTCTGCTGATACTTGTGGCTGTACCCTTTTCAGTGTTAAAGTGTGGCCTTGGACAATTACTAAATAAAATAAGATAATTTTTTTACAAAAAGTGACAGAGCCCTTGTCGCCTTGCAATTTAACGTTCACACACAGTTATTCAGCAAGTTGATCTTCTGTTTCTCTACTTTTTCCCTGATAGTCATATTCCTTTAGTGAGAGACACCTGTGACTTTAGGACAGCCCACAGCATGAGCAACGCGGCCATTTATTTGGCGATTTTGTACGTCAGTGACTTTTAAGTGCACTAAATACTTGCTATGTCTTCACATTAAGCCCAGATGGCTGAATGCTAATATCTCTACAACGTCCCTGGACATGGAGTGCGTCTGGCTGACTCAGCACTTGTCAGGATGTGTAGATTGTGCACACTTACCTGCAGACAGGCGAGAGAGGCCTGCTGTTTGTTCTGGCTCGGGAGTACACAATGATCCAAGCCCTGTTTGTATGCAAACACTGTATGCACAGGCCATCTGTTTAACATAGCATAAAATGATTTCCTGGCGCCATTCGCAGACTCTGATTGTCTCTGTGATGATCCCTTTTAAACTCGTCCAACTACTCTGCAAGGTGAGCTTTTTCACAGTGAAGCCATTTCAATCCCTTTTATAGCTCTGAATAAAGGATTTATTGGATTGCATCTCATTTTAACATATAATGATTATATTAAATATAATCATTATATGTAGGAGTATCGCTCTGTGTTTTGTGATTCAACCATTTATATTCTGTGAGATGTTTTTGCACATTTGTTGCTGAATATTTGTTGTTTTTTTATTTGTGAATTGGATAATAATAGAACTGACTTTGAGTGTTTAGTATAGCATAGTCCCAGAGTTGGGTGTAACGCGTTACTGTAATATTACTTTTGTCGGTAACGGAGTAGTGTAACGCACTACTTTTATAATTCAGTAATCACACTATACTAACATTGCCCCGACATGCGTTACTTCGTTACTTTTATAAAATCAGTCATAATCACACTGACAGACAAGAGGGGTTTCCGCCGCAGGTTTATATGTACGTAATCTGCGCGATTTGCGCGTCCACATCTCCGTGTGCAGTGCTGCATAAACATGGCTGAGTCAGCGATAACTTTCAAGGGGTGGAGGCAGAGGCGGATTTAGGATTGTTGGAGATCCGGGGCTTAGCCCAGGAGTCGTTGGGTTGGGGGGGTGTGTGGGGGGTGCAGGGGTACAGTGCTATTTTTTTATAAGTGGGGGGTGGACCGAACATCCTTTAGGGGGGTTGTCGCCTCCTCTGGGGGGTCCGGGGGCATGCTCCCCCGGGAAGATTTTTTTTAAAATATTGAAGTTGAAAGCATCAATCTGGTGCACTTTGAGAGCAACATTAACCCTACCTTAATAACACCTTAAAGCGGACAAAAGGCACTGGAGAACACTCATTAACACCCTTTAATGAAGCAAACTAATGCCTTAACTCACTCAAATAGTCGTTTACTTATTAAGGTGTAACGAATGTGCGTAGAGTTTTTAAAGGATGCGGATAGTCTCACCTTGATTCTGGCGCATTGCTTATCGTTTTATAGATCTATTCTCATCCACCATCTTTGTTTGTGACGTAAAGAGTGTAAGAGTCACGTTTCTGAATCGGACACTCTGAGTGGATGCAGTCACAGCCAATCGGAGTCTGATTCAGAGGGTTGCCTGTCAGTTCTGTTGTTATGTGTACTGAAACGAGAGCCGGTATAATTCCACGTGTGAAAACAAAATAAAATTTGGAATACGTTATTTGTGGACTCCGGTACTGCACATTACTCCCGAGACGTTATAAATGTTTTTTAATTTAATTTTAAAAAAGAATTTTTTTAAGTGAAACATCCGGGCCTTTTCAGAAAACATCCGGGGCTTGATGGGCATACCTCCACTGGGTGGAGGTATGCCCATTATTTTGAGTTCGTCCGAAGAATAGACAGGAATGTGACGGTGAGGTACAAACTGTGTCCAGGCCAGAAGCTGTTATCCACTGCTGTAAACACCACGTCAAACCTCAACACACACCTGCAAAGAACACATGCTAAGGTGAAGCTAATAGCTAAGGACCCCCGAACCCAGAGTGAGGATGTTGTGAGTGCGCCGCCACCGAAGCAACACGAATTAGAATTTGGAGGACCGGTAACCAAAGCAGAGATGGACAGGCTTGTAGCATCCTTCATAGTAGAGGAAATGTTGCCCATTTGCACAGTGGAATCACCATCGTTCAGAGATACTGCGCAAAATACAGATATCAGGAGACAGAGGACAGCAGCCACGGTCAGATAGGAAAACATTCAGGAGCTATCTGGATCAGTCTTATGCGACAATGGAAACTGAACTAAAGAGAACATTTGAAACTTTAGCAGTCTGCGTGATCTGCCTGTAGGGAGGGGCGGGCCGGCCCTGCGAGTAAAGTAACGAGTAAAGTAACGATTTACTTTATGTAGAGAGTAACGATAGTGTAATATATTACTTTAAAAAAAATAATATGTAATATATTACGACCCCATCTCTGCCCAACACTGGCATGGTCCGAGTGGGCAGCTCAGCAGGTCATTATCGTCTCGAGTGCACACTTATACAAAACTCAGAGTTTCTACCCGGGCTAATCATTCAACTTTAAGTGTGTGCAGAGTAGCCTACTGAGTAAGCCAGGAAAAGTAATGGTAACAGAGGTCAAGCACAAAGCTGATTTATTGTGCTAACCTGCACCTATTTTCCTACTTTAACACAAATAATGAACCAGAGCATGTAGACATATATAATATAGTTTGTTTGTTCCAAATTACTCTCAAGATGACCAACGATCTTCAAAGTAAAGCTTTGCACAACAGCATGTCCTGTCATGTTTCAAGTACTACAGGCGTGTAATAGGAAGTTGGTAGGAAGAAAGCTAAAGTGTGGATGAGAGGGACACACAGAAAATGGTTGTTATAGTAGTGTTGTCATGTCGCCAAGGGCTGCATTCCCCCTTCGTACCATAAACATTCACACACACTTACGATGGCAGCTCCAGCGTTCAACACCATCAAACGTCTAGTTGAAAACAGACTCCTCTCGTTCTGCCCCTGCCAGACAGAAATGTGCACCGCGTGTGTCTCTGTTGTTTGACCATTGCAAAAATGTTAGTCAGTGTCCTCATTTCCACTTCACAAAAACACGCGTTTGGTTTGCGCTATTGACTCCCTGAATTAATTCATTTCCTTGTTTTCTATTGCACACAAGGTTTTATTTCAATGCCAAGGAAGTGGAGCCATGGTTAGAGTCATTGTAATTTCTCTGTTCACCTCATTTTTATGAAAAGAAGGGCAAAAGCAATCTCATGGTGATTTTAATAATTTATCTCCAACACGATGAATGGATATCAAAATGAGGGTGTGTGTGTGTGTGTGTGTGTGTGTGTGTGTGTGTGTGTGTTTGTGTGTGTGCATGAAAATATAGGATGGATGTAGAATATATTTGCTTTATGTGTGCAAAACAAAGAAAGCTCTGATGCATGCAGGTTTGTGTGTGACAGAGTGGGCTTTTCGCAGGGAGTTGCACGTGCTTGAACAGATCACGGAGCACAAATGCGTACATGTTTATTTATATGAGCGAGAGAAAGGGGCTGAGGCTCAGTCAGGGCTATTTCTGGCTTTATCACTATGAGGGCTTAAACATGAGATGAGATTGACTCAAAAACAGGGAGTGCCCATTAAACTCTACTGATGATGGGAAACCTATTCAATAGATTTCGGTCCCCTGGTGTATAAAAGACATGCGTCCAATTCAGGAACTAAGGTTTAACACGTCAATCCAATTAACACCTGCAGATTGGACTGTGAGGGATGGAAATGTTACAATGACAGTAATTAGCCTGGTAAGCCAGATAATGCCGAGTTGAACAGAGCGCGACAAACATTTGGCCTCCCTGTCCTTCTGTTTTCACTTGGGGCCACTACTACCATCTTTCTTTTTAAATAGGCTAGCTTATCAAATGAGATTATATGAATTGGTTATGATAAAAAGATTAGTTTGACCCCAGCACCAGCTTTAAATATTCCTCCTTGGACATTTTCACACTTTAGTTTAGTATGGATTAGATAAACGAGTTATAATGTGTTGATTGGTTAGCTTTAAGGCCCTGACACACCAACCGATTTTGGGAGTCAGAGGCAGTCGGGCATTCGCGGCGCCCTACTCAGGTTGGTGTGTCCCGCACCGTCGTTGCTTTACGGCACATTTTCACACCTCCCGCGGCGGATTCAACGGCTGAAGTCGAATTGTCCATTTAGCTTAGGATCCTTTCTAACGGAGTGAAATGACCCGGAAGTCCCTCAGTGGCAGCCATGATAAGTGCCATTCGAATTCTCTAGATGATAGGAAAGGAGGTTTCAAACTTCCTTTATAACCTCCTTTAGCTTAGGAACCACTGGACCTCCCTTGACGAAAGGAGAGGAGAAAATGCTGCCCCACAATGCCTTGCGGCCGCAGCATTTGCCGTCACACAACAGTCGGCCGTTCACGGAAACAACCGATTATGACCGAGAAATTATATCATGAACGTTACGGTGCTTATTAAGCATTTTAAAACGTTTGTGGTAAGTTGCCAAAGTGCTTTGTTTTGAACGTTCATCAGTATTATAATTAAAAAGAGAAATATAAACGTTAGTTTTGACTGAAATGATCAAATAAAGTCAGCATTTCACAGTCTTTACTGAGCTGTGTGGAGTTTGTTCAACTTTTAAAAGATGTTTGAATGGTGATATACACA